AAAAAAAAAAAAAAAAAAAAAAAAAAAAAAAAAAAAAAAAAAAAAAAAAGCTGAAGAGGTAAGATTGTAAATGAAGGATGAATTGCATATTTTGAAAGAGATCGGGCTGGTTATGGCTTTAATACTGGACTTGTTCATTGCTGGTAATTCATGCCGAACTTCTTTATCCATCTGATGTGTGGTTTGCTGGTGATTAGGTACACTCAGCGAGAGCACCTGGTGGATGTTACCGAGATATTCAATCAGTTACCTTGGGAGAAGAAGCGAAGGCTTTTCAAACTCGTCTATCTTATTTCTCTTCTCTTTCTCTCCATATTTTGGTAATCCAAGAGGAGGAGAGACCGTTTTGTTATTTGGTTGAATCCTACTGTTCTGCTCTCTTCAATTTCGTTTCTGTGTGTTTGCAGGTTGATTTACAGTGCGTTGGAGGATCATGATTCTTGAATAGGAATAACAGAGCTGCAAATTGTTGTCTAGTAGGAGATAATGCCACTGTGCGACTCACTACAAAGTTTGGTGTTCTTTACTCGTAGGGTATCTTATTGTGTTGTAATTCTGGACAAATGATTGCCTTGTGAGTAACATCTAAAGGGGTTTTCTTTTTTCTTCTTGACTGCCAACTAAATGCTGCCCCTGTTTTGCATTTATGTTTGTAAACAAAATTTGGAAACTATATTCATATGATTCTTATTTCTTGTACCAATAAAATGATTTTTTTTTCTCTATATAACACATGTGGATGATGATTTGAACTTCCAATAATTAATTATTGAGTAATGTTCATGCTGGTAGTAGCATTGTCACTCGAGAAGAGGATTGCTCAAAGAATTAATATATAATAAACTATTAAATTTGATATAAGGAGTGATTGGAAGGATTTTGTTGTATGGAAGGATTTTGTTGTATGAAAAAATAAAAAATGCAAAAAAAGCTATAAATGTATTTTAATTATGAAATATTGACTGTGAAACAATCCATCCCTATATAATTTCTGAAAATATATTATTGCATAATACAAAGCATCGAGCATCAACCACACTATTGAAAGGCGTTTGGATATGGGCCTCATGGAGCCCACCAATGATCTATCGGGCTCAGCGTCTTTCATTGAATCCCAAAAGGCCCAATTTAGAAATCTAGCTGAAAGGCGTTTGGATATGGGCCTCATGGAACCCACCAATGATCTATCGGGCTCAGCGTCTTTCATCGAATCCCAAAAGGCCCAATTTAGAAATCTGACTCCACCTGGTCCTTCTCGGCAAGGTGCTGTATCATCTTCTTCGGAATCGGGAGTTCTGTCATCGACTCAAAATGGCCGCCTCTTCTACTCCGTGCTTTCAACCGCAAATTATAACCTCTCAGTCTCCGCTCAGGTTCTTCCTCTCTCTTCTGGTTCACTGTTAAAATTGATGCTTTTCGCGACGCTTACCTGATTTTCTTTCTTTTTTTTGAATTTTGTAAGCCCTGCGACGAAGGTTTACTCGGGATTAAAGCTTCAATCTGCTAGTGGGCTTGCTTTCCTTTCCTTCTCATGGTGTCATTCATCTATTTGTCCGCCGCTTAATTACGTATTGCTTTCCTTTGTTTTTTTGTTTTTTTTTTTTTTAAGGTCCATTTGGAGGAGCGAAACCTAATCTTACTGCTGAATTCTATGGAAAAGTTCATAAAAGTCTACAATCCAGGTAATTGCAGCTCTAGCTAAGCCTACATCCTAGTTTCATTAATTTTCTGAGCGGGGAAGTATATCCTTAAATATTCTGTTACATTCTGGTGATATTAATCAATTGAAAAGCTTGGACTTTCATAACATGCTATACTTTCAAGGATGAAGGAGAAGAAGTATAAAATTGTTAACTTATTTTCACATGGATCATTTGTTTTCTTCATGGAACATTTTCCTTGTTTTCAAAATCACGAGCTATAATGGCACGGAGACTGGAGAGGTTGACTTGATATCCCTCCTTATTGAGCTTGGCTTAATGGTAATTGACATGTACCCTCTAATATTTTCCTGACATCTTTTTCCCTCAAATTGTAAAATGAAACTTGTGATTATGGAGATTTAAGCCAATTATACCAGTTGCTGCTTCCTCTAATATTCTCTTGACATCTTTTTCCCTCAAATTTTCATATTTCCTTTCAATTAGACATGCATTCAATTTTTGCTTATCCCTTCTGATAACAAAAGCTAAAGAGAAGTAAAAAGAGAAGATATTCAGTTTTATCCTATCCTACATATATTCTTCTAATTCGTTACTTTACGTGCAGTACAAATAACAAGAAGGCATCCCGTATGCAGTTTCAGATGATGCCTATCGGGACACCAAGGGTGCCTTACAGAAATCCTGGCGAGGGAACTTGGCAATGGGTTGATTTGTGGAATGCCCTTGTAAGTGATTCTCTTCTTATGCACTTTTTGTGCGATACAGTCTAATGTCACTTGATATTTAATTACTCAGACTGAGCAAAAATACAGTTCAGCAATATGAGACTCACGAGTTCCAATGGCTATAATTATATCAAAGTAAACTGTTCTCTACTATACGTGTTTAATGTAAAAATCAACTTTTTTATTTTTAATAATCTCTACTATATGAAGATTTTTCCCCATAATCTCTACGTTTTTTGTGTGTCTAGTATCGAGAACGAGTTATCTTCATCGGGCAAAACATTGATGAAGAGTTTAGCAATCAAATTTTGGCCACCATGCTATATCTCGACAGCATTGAATCTTCCAAGACACTCTATATGTACATAAATGGTCCAGGTGGAGATGTGAGTTCAATCTTTTTTCTTTTTTGGGATAAATTCCATAATTGTCTGTTATATTTTCCTTCTATTGGGAATATCCTATTGGTTTGTTTAGCATTATTTTTCTGATGATATCATGATCTTTGCAGTTAACTCCGAGTTTGGCCATCTACGACACAATGCAGAGCTTGAAGAGTTCAGTACGTACCCATTGCGTGGGTTATGCCTATGATCTAGCAGCATTTCTTCTAGCAGCTGGAGAAAAGGTAAATACAGATTTTAGCTAGCATTATCAAATAAAATTAGTACCGTAAGGCAATGGATGTTGCTTGAAAGATGACTTTGGAATTTGTCGGGAGTTCTTCTTCAGTATGGTAAAACGTATCCCCTATTTTTTCTTCCAGTCAAATCAATTTTTGATCCATTTGAACAAATCTTAATGCGACCTGATCAATAAGTTTCTACCCTTAATTTGCATTGGATAAATTAGGCAACGCCTTATTCCTTTTACCCATATCTGCCTTCTATCTATTTGGCTGAACCTACTTATTTTCTTCATGTTCTTTTAAATCTAACAACACATTTCCTTGTTATTAAGGGTCACCGCACTGCAATGCCTCTATCAAGAATTGCTTTACAATCCCCAGGTGGAGCTGCTCGTGGCCAGGTAACACTAATTTGTTTCATCATGTCATGCAAACTGATCGTATATGCCTTTCTATAAGTTCTAAACATTTTTGTTTGAAAATCTTTTGATAGGCTGATGATGTTCGAAACGAAGCAAACGAGCTCTTGAGAATCAGGGATTATCTTTTCAATGAGCTTTCTAAGAAAACAGGCCAGCCTGTTGAACAGGTCAGTTTGTCTGGCACCATGGCATACATACAATATCTTCATTCATAGTGTAACTTTCCACTACCAGACATGAGTTATAACCCACATGACTTTTTGGTTTATGAAACATGAGGTTTTACAAACTTGCAAAAATTAACACATCCATAGTTCGCTAATGCCATTCTTGAATCTTACGTCAAATTAAACTTAAAATATTTCTCAGAAATACAACCTTAACACCTTGTAAATGGACAAATGCAGATTAACAAGGACCTGAGTCGAATGAAGCGATTTAATGCTCAGGCAGCTCTTGAGTACGGTCTTATCGACCGTATAGTCAGGCCAGCTCGCATTAAGGCCGATGCACCACGCAAGGATGATGGAGCAGGGCTTGGTTAAAGTAAGATTAATTATTGTCTTCACATTGGAAGTAGCACATGTTTGCTTTAGGGTTACATGGCACACAACTAAGTAATTAGAATTTATGTATGGAAGTTCAAATCTTGTTTTTCATCCATTAATTTAAATGGAAGCTCTGTGGAAATGGTATGAATTTTATTATTCTTTTCCCCGGAAGTATCTTCAATTAGGTAGATTGATTCAAATTTGGTTAGCATTTTAGTGGGAAAGTGATTGCAGCATTTGAAGGGAATATGAAGATTTTTCGAGGCCTAAAGGGGGGGTTCTTCGGAGAAATATGGAGATGGGAAGTTAAAAGAGAACTGTTTTCTCCCCCCAAACATATAACTTCGAGAGCATTCAAACAATTGTTCTGTTCTTTTTCTAGAACTAATTTGAGAAAGACGTTACAATGTATCGAGCAATTACATGGTGTAGATGAGCTAACCCACTAAAATGAGAGAGATTCAAAATTTGATTTAGGCCCAACTTTGACTTTTAGATAAAACTTTGGCCAATGTTGGGTTGGTTAGCCAAAATACAAACATAAATATTCTTTCAAGCAACAGAAGAAGTAATAGGGAGCTTTTTTAAGTCACCATCAATGTTCTCAACAAAATCTATCAAATCAAACTAAAAACTTCTCTTGATTCACTGTACTCTCATGATTGCTTAAGCAAGCGTTATGTACTGATCTGATTAGTTTAAGCAAATTACGTAATTACATTGACCTAATCATTAATACATATACATATATGATGCTGATGGTAGTTGACTTCAATTTTTGCTATTATTTGGGAATTAACTTCTAATCTGATCCTTAACAGCTGATGGATTGGTTTTTTTTGTTTATTTTAAGGTTCCTTTCACGTAACCCTTACCTGTCAAACCAAACACATCCTCTGGACTTTAATCTAAATCTAATGAATCCAAGCAGCAGACACAAACATTTGATGAACACGAGTTGACCGATGTCAACTATGGATGAAAAGAAGTAAGCATAAAATTACAATCCATTGGTATGAAGTAAAGTGAATGTATTCCCATTACATCAAACTATTCTACTCGACGCGGTTGCGTCGGGGAGCTTATAGCTACTCTACCAAGTGAAAAGCTAACTGAGAAGGATGAACAGGGCAGTGGGGGTATGAAATTCTACATTGGAAGTACAGTGGTAAGTTACAGAGACCTTGAACCAAGATGTGAAATCCACCAACTAGATGTGAGAGGGAGACTTCCACAATAAGCTATGGAGGTCAAGATCATGCACTGGGTAGGGGTACATTGATATCAGTTGGCTTATTCCTTGAATCATTTGGCAGCATCGACCAGTTATCGCCACGAAAGGAGCTCGAGGGGGAGAGGTTGGACTTAGGATCGACACAAGATATCGGAATGGCAGCGGTTGGAGAGGCCGTTGAAATAGTATCTTGTTTTGGCTTTTTTGGGTTCTGCTCTTGTTGGTTTCCAGATAGAAAACTCCCTACTACGACCTATTTTTGCAGAGAAAATCTTAGTTTCCATTGCTCAGATTTGGAAAGAAATTGCAATGAGATAACAGATCTTATTGGTAATGGGGAAGGAAACAGAAATAAGATACCTGAACAGGACTTGCAGCTACTAATAGACCAGCTACTCCACCGCCTACGACACGCCCGTCTGGACTTGCTAAGGAAACACTCATTCCACCAGATCTACCTCGAGTTCCTCCATTATCACTAGGCATGAATGAGCCAGACAAGGACAGTATTTCGAAGCGACCCTGTGAACAAAAAAGAATGGACATCCTACGTGAGAGGAACTTGCTCGATATGAAGTTAATTAATCGATAACAGAGAGAATTTACCAAAGAATATTCAGCATTACTTGAAAAATAATAATTATGGAATGCTGGACTGGTTTGAAAATAGCGAAATGGAAGCTTGTAATCAAATATTTACCAGAAAATTCATTTTGATATACTTAACCAATGCATGAAATGAACTAATTCTATATGAATTGAGTGTCTTTCCTACAAACTTCAACCATTGCGAAGTTTTTTACAGCCTATAGCATGTGAAAAAACATTCAGACATCCAACGAACTCTCTTGAATCAATTCTGAAACAGGATTGGCGTGGCTAGTTACAGTGTAACTGCACAGCTCGAGTTGAATGTCACAAACATAATCGAACTGATAAAAGATACTAAATTGAAAAAAGAAAGCAGTGAATTCACATTTAGCTACACTACATAAAATGTTAAATGAAGCTTCTGAGTGAGAAATAAAAGTGATAATTCAATATGGATGATACTTGGAAGCTTACTAACGACAGAAGTTGATAGAGCTATGTAGTTGTGGTCGGTGTGTGGATGTCTTTACCCAACGCGCAAGACGGGAACAGAAGAATACACGTTGACATCCAAGTGCAATGGTAGGAAGGCAATGTTCAGAATAGAAAAGATTTGGTCTTACAAGAAGAGCGCTAGCAGATATGGTTCTATTTGGGCTTTCCCTTTCGAACTTTCTCTCAAGGTTTTTAAAATGCATCTAGGGAGAGGTTTCCACACCCTTATAAAGAATGCTTCGTTCTCCACTCCAACCGATACCGATGTTACAAATGGTATTAGATCTAGACACCGAGCGATGTAGTCTTCTTTTCTTGTAAGACCAAGTCGTTCCTATTCTGAACATTACCTTCCTAACACCACGCTTGGACGTCCAACATGTATTCTACTGTTCCCGTCTTGCTTGTTGGGTAAAGGCATCCTCTCTTTGACCTGCACACCGACCACAACTAGATAGCTCTTCACTATTTCTTCCAACTCGAGCCGTGCAGTTACACAGACACTTCATAATATTGAACTTTAGAATTTATGAGTCATAATTAACATAAACAGCTTCATACAGAGATGTCAGCACATATATTCTGTAGGAGAACAATTATTGGGATGTTATGGTACTGAATCCTAAAAGCATGCATTGTTTGATCAGTAACATAGCATTGTAGGAGCCCAAAATAAATGCATCACCTCATATGTTAGTGTTCCTCCAGAGGAGTCAGGCTGACGGAGAGTGACACTTGAGATCACACCGTTTGCAGACAAAATACATATAGCTCGAGGCCCTTGCTGAGAAAAGGATATTATCTTCATTGTGACATCCTAGTTAAGTGCAAAAACTTAATCAACAAATTGAAAGTTGTAATTCAAAAAGAACAAAGAAAAGTTGTCTTATGGAGGTTTTAGCCCAGCTTATTAGAACAATGCAAGTTTTCGTACATTTTACCTCGCCTGTGTTGACAGTGATGATATGAGGTGTAAAATTTGCACCAACAGAACATGGAACCCAGTCACCTGAGAGTGTCAGATTCAGACACAACATCAAAACCCAACAACAAATCAGAAGTAAGTTGAACAGAGCAACATGGAAACACTCTTTACAAAGCGAAGTCTATGCTGAAACATTTGAAGATAATGAAAGATCATGGAGTCATTCAACTGCTATGAAGTGAAAATCAAATCAGAACAAAACAAATGAACATACCTTTTTTCTGTAAGTGAATCAATCGTGAGGTTCAGGATTAGAAAATAGTCAAAATAAGACAGGGAGAGAGAGTTCAAACAACAAGATGCCGACATTTTCAGACCAATATACAAAGCTCTCTGTATTTTTCAGAATCCGAACAACAATATGCTACGAGAACTTAATCGAAGAATCCAAACAGAGGACCCACATCCACCCAGCAAGAGAAAAGATTCACACACTATCACTAAGTAATAATCTCAAATCCAACCATCTCTCTCTGAAACCCAGGTCCCAAAACATCCCAATCATTCCATCGAAGAACCAAAACCAAGCTCAACTTAAGACAGATTGATTAAATCAGTAAATCCCCATTACCTAAATTATCCACTTCGAACTTTCTTTTGCTCACAGCGCTCGCCGGCCGCACTTTCCCCTTCTTCTCCGTCGAGAAGTCGATCACCGGCGGCGGCACCGATGATGATATTGGCTTCGGAGACAGAGCCATACTGACAGAGCCATCGGGTCCATATTTTCTCGGCCGCCCTCTTTTCTTCTTTCCCGGAACTGAGGAGGCCGCCGTGGGCAGCGGAGTCGAAGCTGGTTGAGAAGCCGCCGCCTCCGCCGCAGATGGCGTTGATCCACCGGTCTGCGGTGGGTTATCAGTGGTTCTGGGAGCTATTTGATACTCCGATGGAGCATCTGATCCCACAACAGTAACTCCACTACTTGCACCACCATCTCTTCCCTCCATTACTTAAAAAGAAAAAAAAAAAAAAAAAAAAAAAAAAAAAAGAGGAAAAA